TATTGGTGAAAATTCTGCTTGGGATGTCCGATATTTTGCTGCTTATGTTTTCTTCTAAGATTTTTATGGTACAACTTAACATTTAAGTCCTTTATCTATTTTGAGTTTATTTTTGTGTATGGTGTATGTTGGTGGTCTGGTTTCATTTTTTTGCAAGTATCTGTCAAATTTTCCCAACACCATTTATTGAAGAGACTGTCTTGATTCCATTGTATACACTTGCCTCCTTTGTCAAATATTAATTGAGCATAGTGTTTTGGGTCGATTTCTGGGTTCTCTATCCTATTGCATTGGTGTATATGTCTGTTTTTCTGCTGATACCAAGCAGTTTTGAGAACAGTGGCTTTGTAATAGAGCTTGATATCTGGTATTGAGATCCCTCCTACTTTGTTCTTCTTTCTCAGGGTTGCTGCAGCTATCACGGTCTTTTTTTATTCCAGATAAATTTTTGGAGAGTTCGTCTAATTTGTAATTCTTAATCACTTCACTTTTTTCACCCACTCCTCCAATCCCCTCCCCTCTGGCAACCATTATTCTGTTCTCTACCAGTTGTTTCAATTTTTTTTTTATATTCCATATATAAGTGAAATCATATGGTATTTATCTTCCCCTGACTGATTTATTTCACTGAGCATAATATCCCTCAAAGTCAAGGATTGTGTTATGGGGTGTTAATTCCCCCACATTTGCAGTTTTGAGCACCCACAAATGATCATCAGCTTCTCTCAGGTGTCCCAGCCACGTCATGTAAAAGCCTTAATTAGTAAAACAATGTGAAACACATGCAGTGCAACTAAAGTTTGTTTCCGTTGCCTTGTAATCTCTAAGAGGGGAGGGGAGCGGGGGTAGTGGGCTGAGAAAATGTGAGACAGGACAGAAGAGGTGACTGATACAAGCAGGTTTTTAAAATTTATGAGTAAATACATAAAATATATGTACACAAAATCAATTTTTTTCATAGAAAATATTTGATATGCCATTGTGTTCAGTAACTGTTTAACATACGGTGACACCTATTCAAATACAGAAAACTTCAAATACAGACATTCACAAGCATCAAGTTTCAACTCTTTAATGCTGTCTAAGGAGAAATTCCTGTGAAATTCTATGTTGCTCACCTTCACTCTATTCTGAATTAAAAACCCAGTGTCTGATGTGCAGTTGTTCACCTGCAGTAACAGCTGTTCATCTGTTGGGGCCGTTACCTAACCCACCACTCTGAGAAGATAAGGCAAACTCAGTATGGAACCTTGCAAGTGAACTGTTGATGTGGGCAGCTTGACTCTGGTGTACTTACCCCATGTAGCTTCCCCATGCTTAAAGTCTGTCTCACATGAACTCTCTATTGCATTGTAATCTGAAAGTTTTAATTTCTCCAGTTTTTGTTATTTACTCCCCTTTAATCTCCAAATTAAAGTATGCATAAGAAATTATACCAAGTAAATTCCTGTAACCAAGTTAATTTCATTATTCTAAAACCATAGTTACATAATTTCTGCTTATTTTATTAAGAGTATATTCAGATGAATCAGTACTTTTTCATATAAAAATTATACATGGTAAACACTAATTAGAAATCAAATGTTGAATTTTACTTGTAAAGGGTTTGCTTTTGAAAGTTATCTTTTATAGCCATTATTTCTACAAAAATGCAATTTTCCCTGGTTGACTTGTATAGATCTAAATATTACTGTATGCAGTTGTATCCATTAAGTCTTTTATTTTGTTTTGGTTTTGCTGCTATTCATATTTAAAGTTTATATAAAGCAAAAATAGTTTAGCTCCTTGTCCTTTGTCTTAGATTAGTTTAGTATATTGCTAATTTGGTTTTCCAGCTAACTTTGCAAATTAACTATGCAGGCTCTGAACTGATAAAAGAGCATATAGAAATGTTCTCTGTTATATAGACTATCGTCCCCTACAAATAAAGATAGTTAAGCTTCTTGTTATTTATTTGTTTGTTTTGTTTCAGTCTTCTTGTTTTATAATCTTTATAACTTTAATGTCTTATTTTGTCATATTAATTCTTAATAAGATTGGAACATTCACTACAATGATTAATACAAATGGTGAGCACAGGCAGACATCCCGACCTTCTTCCCAGCCTTAGAAGAAAAGCCAAAAAAGTCACCATTTAGTAGGATGTTAGCTGTTGCTTTTAAATTCTCTTTATGAAATTGAGAAGGTGCCCTTTCATTCCTAGTTTATTGGAAGTTTTTGCCTCAAAAAGGTGCTGAATGTTTCAAATGTTTTATTTCTACCTATAGAGATAAATATGGTTATTCTCTTATATTCTGTTACCATGGTGAATTATAATGATAGATTTTTAAATTTAAAATAAATCTTTCTTATCTGGGATAAACCCACATAGTCACCATATAGTAACCTTTTTATACACTCTTTTTGTTCTTACCTTTTAAGGTGGAAGCTTAGATTACTACTGATTCTAAACATTCCTTGTTGTTATTTGATGTAAACATTTGAACTTTGAGGTTTCTCTTCTACATTTTGAAGTATCTCACATAGTTTAATATGTTACTTTTTCATTATCATTAGATTCAAAATATTTTCTAATCTTTTAAATCTTTCACTGTCAAGTTAATTTCTTTAGAATTGTGTTGATTACTTTTCAAATATTTGGATATGTATTTTCTTGATGTCTTACTGTTACTGAGTTCAAATTCAATTCCATTGTGATCAGAGAATATACTCAGTGATTTGAATCCTCTGATATTTACTGAGACATCTCTATGGTCTAGCTCTAGCATATGGTCTATGATGATAAATGTTTCGTGCATGTTGGGATAAAGAATCCATATGTTCAGAATTTATAAGGTGTAATGTTCAATGAGTATATATTGGGTCACATTGGTTATAGTGTTCAAAACTTCTGTCTTCTTATTGATTTTTTAAAATATTTTTTTCCTGACATTAGAGAGGAAGGGAGAGGGAGAGAAAGAAACATCAACTTTCAAATATACTATACAGCTGTGGGAATTATAACCTTTATGTTGTACATTGCATCTCCAGTACTTACTTCTCTTATAAATGTATGTTTGTACCTTTTGTGCACCTTCATCCAAGTCCCCTACCAACCTATCCCCTGGCTCTGATAACTACGAATCTGATCTCTTTTGTATGTTTGTTGTTTTTTTTTTTTAGAATCCACATACAGTATTTGTCTTTCTCTGTCTCACTTTTTTCAGTTAGCATAATGCCCTGAAGGTCCATCCATATTGTGGCAAATGTGGTATACATTATTGTTAAATGATTCTTTCATTAAAATTTCCCTTCCCCCCCTTTTCTCATTATAGACAGAGAGTGCATGGGCTGAAGAATATTCTGAAAAGAAGAAAGGGTCTCACAAGCGTTCAGCATCCTGGGGCAGTACAGATCAACTTAAGGAGGTCAGGAAAATGATTCCAAGAAAGTGGGTGTGGAAACTTGATTTCTTCGTTGGCTAGTTCCTTGAAATTGTGGGCAGCAGAGATTTGTCAGTTTCCATTGAGTGTGGGGTTTGTGTGTTTGTTTTTATTTTAGTTCTGTTTACTTGAGAACTAACAACAGAAAAACAGTTATGTTAATTGAATAAAGATTTGAATGGAGAAATGTACACATTACTTATCAGATAGTGTGTTTTTCCTTTTTAAAAAAGAGCGTCTATACCTATTAATATATAAATATCAAATATATAAATTTTAGTGATATAACAAATTCACATATATTATTTCTGTATAGTATGATAGTGATTCTGCTATTTAGTAACCCAGTAGAACTAAGTTGATTTTGCCTCTGTGCTATGATTACCTGATTACCATTTTCTGTCTACAATTATAACATTTTCATTTTACATATAATGTAGAAAAAAAGACCAGGAAAATTCAGTCCAGAAATAACATGGGATATTGATTAAAATTTTATTTGGTATTTTTAAAGATTATATCTGTGAGTGCATTTTATGGCTTGAATTGATATTCAAATAGTTTAATTTTTGGAGCTGTTGAAGGTCACAAGTTTGATAAAGAAATCTAAATAAAATGTGATTTATGAGGGCAATGAGAGAATAACTATGAATTTTTAATTCTTTGTGAAAGTTGTAATATAATTTATTCTGAATGCTGAAAACTTCACTTGTTTAGTACTTGGAATATCTCTTTATATATGCATGTGTATATATAATAAGATTTTGTGATACAGTTTAAAAATTCAAAACTTTTATTAAGACTGAATTTTTCTGGTTCTTATTAAGCAAGGATGCTCTATGTAGTATGGGAAACACTCTGATGCATGTGTTATTTTCCCCTTTGCAGATTGCAAAATTACGCCAGCAATTGCAGAGAAGTAAGCATAGCAGTCGACATCATCGAGATAAAGAAAGACAGTCACCATTCCATGGCAACCATTCAGCCATTAACCAGTGTCAGGTAGGAGCACAGATAACACAAAATGCAGACAAGATTTTTTTATTTTGCAGGTGATTTGTTATTTTATAGGTGACTATGGGACAAAATAGCCAAAAACACATTTGAAACTGATTAATACTGAATCATAACCTTCATAAAAATAAACCGAAAAAAAGAAACTAGAATATTAAATTGACAAAATGATATTTTCCTTTGGTGACCTGTGATAAGACTTCTAAGAGACATAGCTAATTTTTCATATTTTGACTTACCGTACTTTGTATCTATCAATTTAGTATGTTGGAGGCAGAATAATAGAGATATGCATTGGCTGTGGAATCAGACCTTGGACAGGTAACCTGCTGTAAGTCTCAGTTTCCTCATCTGAGGATTGAGGATAATAATGATACCTGTCTCATAAAGTCATTTGCTAGGGAAAACGTTTAGCTGCTCTGGTTCCTTAGTAGAATCTTTTATTTTATTTTATTGATTTTTTACAGAGAGGAAGGGAGAGAGATAGAGAGTTAGAAACATCGATCAGCTGCCTCCCGCACATTCCCTACTGGGGATGTGCCCGCAACCCAGGTACATGCCCTTGACCGGAATCGAACCTGGGACCCCTCAGTCCGCAGGCCGACGCTCTATCCACTGAGCCAAACCGGTTTTGGCCTTAGTAGAATCTTATAAACTACTCTTGATGGCTCGCACCGGGAACATTTCTGTTTAACTGAATTGAAATTGGATGGGGTCCCTAGGCAAGGAGAAACAAGAAAAAGTTTGCCAACACCTTTTCTAGGTTGATACCTTCTGATGATTGTCAACTATATTTGGATTGTTTTCAAGAGAAAGTATAAGTGGAGGTATATATTTTTTCAAACTAATTTTGTCCTAAAATATTGGTACATGGGTCAAATTAGATTTCATAAATTTAAAGTTTGGTTGTAATTTCCAACAACTCGCCAGGGTAGGGTGATGGAGTCATGAGGGTGGGGCTAGTGCATTTATTCAGGCTGATGCAGTATGGAAGGGAATGCTTGACCCAGGAAAGATGTCTTCTGTGAGTGTTGTCTGAGAGGAACTTGGCATAAAGGCCCTGGCAGCGGTCCCTTCAGCTCTTTGCCTGGAGCCTCACACCCTCTTTGTCCTCCCACATCTCCATTTTGCTCTGATCTTCCCCCTCTGTTTGCTGGAGTCCAGGCTAAGTGGCCATGAATGAGATTTTGTGTGCTGTTCCTTTAAGAGGGCACCTGACTTTTGAGCAGAGTACTGTCTCTCCCTGGCAGACAGAATCCCCATTAATTTTCACAGCCAGATGTTATATGGGCTCTTCTACCCGCATGCACATGCGTTTGCTTGAGACTCCTTGCTCCTCAGGGGATAACTTTTACAGCTGAGATGTCCCTCCAGATTCCTACCTGCTGTACATGGATGTGGGCCAGCCCTTTTCATGTCTCTGCCCTTCCTGCCAGTCTCAAAGTGGCTTCTTCTATAAATCCTTGGTTACAAGACTTCTGTTCAGCTAGTCTTCAGTTGGCTATTCAGGTGGAGTGTTCTGTAATTTAGTTGTAATTCCAATTTGGACCTGGGAGGAGGGTGAGTATAACTTCCACCTACTCTGCCTCATATTTTTTATTTTAGCCATTCAAATAGATGTGTAGTGGTATTGTACTTGATATAAATTTGCACTGTCACATTTTTCTAAGACTATTTGCTATATGTAAATCCTCTTTAATGAATGTGTATTCAGGTTTTTTGTCCATATTTAAATTGGGCTGTTTTATTTTTATTTATTTATTTATTTATTTTTAAAATATATTTTATTGATTTTTTACAGAGAGGAAGTGAGAGATATAGAAAGTTAGAAACATCGATGAGAGAGAAACATCGATCAGCTGCCTCCCGCACATCCCCTACTGGGGATGTGCCTGCAACCTAGGCACATGCCCCTGACTGGAATCGAACCCAGGACCCTTCAGTCCGCAAGCCGACACTCTATCCACTGAGCCAAACCGGTTTTGGCTGTTTTATTATATATTTGAGAGATCATTATATATATTTGGATACAAGTCCTTTGTTGGCTTTGTGAATTCCAAATATTTTCTCCCAGTCTGAATTAGTTTTTCATTCTCTTAACAGGGTCTTTCACAGAGAAAAAATTATTTTCAAATAATTTTGAAGAAGTCCAGTGTATCATTCTCCCCGCCTCAGCTTTATAGCGATATAATTGATATTTCACATTGTGCACTTAAGCTGTTCATTTTGATGACTTGATATATGTATAATATGGTAAAAATATTACCGCAATAAGGTTAGTTAAGACATCCATCATTTCACATAGTTACCTTTTTATTTCTTTTCTGGTGAGAACTTTTAAGATCTACTGTCTCAGCAAGTTCCAAGTATACAATACATTATTAACTATCATCATCATGCTATATATGAGATCCCCAAAGCGTATTCATTTTATAACTAGAAGTTTGTATTCTTTGATCATGTTCACCCATTTCTCCTACCTATCTGTTCCTGGCAACCATCCATCTACTCCTGTTTCTATGAGGTGGTTTTTTTTTGTTTTTTTAAAGATTCCACATATAAGTACCATCACACAGTATTTGTCTTTCTCTGACTTATTTCACTTAGCCTAATGTCTTGTAGGTTCATCCAAGTTGTTGCAATTGGCAGGATTTCCTCTTTCATGGCTGAATAATATTTCATTGTTTGTGTGTATAACCCTATTTTTTTAAAATATATTTTATTGATTTTTTACAGAGAGGAAGGGAGAGGGACAGAGAATTAGAAACATCAATGAGAGAGAAACATCGATCAGCTGCCTCCTGTACACCCCCCACTGGGGATGTGCCCGCAACCAAGGTACATGCCCTTGACCAGAATTGAACCTGGGACCCTTGAGTCCGACGGTCGACCCTCTATCCACTGAGCCAAACCGGTTAGGGCTATAACCCTATTTTTTTATCCATTTATTTGTTAGCAGACACTTACGTTGTTAACATGTCTTGGCTCTCAGAAATAATGCTGCAGTGAACACGAAGGGCAGGTACTGTGAGGAGTAAAAAATGTTTTTGCTGATTAATTTAGCAGTATGAATGAAAGTCCTGAAAATCTTTCCTGTACATTGAGCCAATAGTCCCTCCAGCCCCAGAATTTACCCTAAGGAAATATTTATGTTTGTATGCAGTATTTATTTAAGAGGATGTTCATAGTGGCATTTTTTTTTTTGAGTAGTGAAAAATTGGAAACTATTTGTCCAATAGCAAAGCATTTATTTCTTAATACATTTATACAACAAAATACCATTCACCTATGAATGTTATTTGGTAAATAATAATTTTGAAGTATAGAAAGATGTTAGAGTTAGAGGAAATGAAAAAAAAAAATAACACGTTACAATCTGAGATGGTTGAGTTCCCCTATTACATGAGGAAAGTGGGGCGGAGGGGCCCAGCAGTAAGCAGTGAAGAAGCGCTGCCTCGGCACTCCAGAGTGAAGCTTCCCCTTAGATCTTTCTCACCAGTTCCTTGCCTGTTCCGAGAATTGTTAATGTGTTATGCTTAATTTTTAAAAATATCAATTATAATGGTGAGCAGGAATACAAGACGAGGAATACAGGTTTAACACTAAGTTCTCTGTCAGAGGACAGGGTTGTCCATTGAATGAAACTAGTGATAATTGATCAAAGGCCCTGTTACCTTTTTGCTTACCCACCTTCCTCAGAAAGAGAAGTTTTTCAAAGAAACCTCCAAGTGAATGGTGGGTTAATCACATTTCTTTACCAGGCAGCAGGACAATGTGCAAGAGATCTCAGGCACACTGTTGCCATGAACTTTGGCAGATATTTTTGCAGTTCTTTTTTTTTTAATCCTCACCCAAAGATATGTTTTTATTGATTTTAGAGAGAGAGGAACATTGATTGGTTGTCCCCTGTACTCTCCCCCACTGGGTTTTGAACCCGCAACCTAGATATGTGCCCTGACTGGGAATTGAACCCACAACCTTTTCAGTGTAGGGGACAACGCTCCAAGCAGCTGAGCCATCCAGTCAGGGCCTATGCAATTCTTGTCTCATATTTAATTTTGAGTATTTTGTCAAGAAATCAAGTAATATCCTATAATTATGTTATCAGTTACTTCTTTTCAAAAGCATTAACTGTCAGTGGAAAAAAAATGGTTTTTTAAGTTAGAGATAGGCTTTGTAAAAAAAAGAAAATAAATCATATCATTTTCATTCCTGAACAAAACATTAAAACCATTACAATGGAAGTATAAGTAAATTTTACAGGAACCTTATTCTCATCGCAGTCTTGCTATAAATACAGTTAATTGTGTCACTAGAGGACTTTAAAGTTATGTCTGAAATTAGAACTCTGTTACAATCATAAAATAATTTCTGAGATTGAAATTCTTTTAGTATTCTTTTATCCGTTTTCCCTTTATAGTTCCTCATAGATGTGAATATACTTGTGAAAGTCTATCTTGATTGTCTGGGTTTTTATCTTTAAATTGTATTTATTGTACAGTATACTGAGAAGGAGATTTGGTCACTCACACTTTTTACGAGGCCTATAGACTGTATTTTTATTTTATTTTAGAGTTACTCATGTCAACTAAAAGTATGTTTCAAATGAGTGTTAAACCTCTCTTCTCCCTGCTTTATTTCCTCTTCTCAAGGCTCCTGTTCCAAAGAGTACTCTTATTCCAGCAATTCCCATCACCAAATCAACAGGCTCCCGGTTCCGGAACAGTGTGGAAGGATTGAATCAGGAGATTGAAATAATAATTAAAGAAACAGGGGAAAAGGAAGAACAACTTATAGTAAGTAATCCTTACTCATTAACTCTTCTACCTATTAAAAAATTTACGATTTTGTTTTTCATATTTACTTAGGTTTCTTCCTTCTTGTTGAGAGAAAATGACAATTTTTATCTTTTGAAAAACTAAGTGAGTGAAAAGTTTTCATTTCTTTACATGTCATAGAGAAAACTGATGTGACTTAAATTTGGATCCTTGAACAGAAGCTATTTTTTATTTATCTGTATTTGAAAAGCACCAGACAGGTGGTATAATTCTAATTATTATAACTCCATTTAAGAAAAGATTAGGCTACTAATTTGTTGGGGAGAGAAGGATATGACATCAGATTCTAAGCGTGAACTGTTTCTTCTTTTTTTCAATACTCTAGGACAGCCGTGGGCAAACTACAGCCGCGGGCTGGATCCGGCCCGTTTGAAATGAATAAAACTATTGGAAAAAAAGACCGTACCCTTTTATGTAATGATGTTTACTTTGAATTTATATTAGTTCACACAAACACTCCATCCATGCTTTTGTTCCGGCCCTCCGGTCCAGTTTAAGAATCCATTGTGGCCCTTGAGTCAAAAAGTTTGCCCACCCCTGCTCTAGGATATGTTGAGAGAGAGAGAAACATTGATCAGTTGCTTCCTATATGCACTCGGACTGGGGTTCAAACCCACAACCTAGGTATGTGCCCTGACCCAGAATTGATCCAATGCATAAATTTTTGAGGAAATACAATGCTCCAACCAAGCCATCTGGCCAGGGCTACCTGTTTATTGTTTGCCACTTATTATTTCAAAGGTTAATGAGAACATCATGAAGTGCAGTTCTTACCTATCATGCACATAAGACTTTGTACTCTTCTACTAACTTTCATACACATAAGAATGACTCATATGTCAGACACAATGAGAAAATTTCCTGTTTGTATTTAAAACCATGTCACAGAGTATACTAAGCTTTTTTCTTCAGTGAATGAATTGAAGAGTTTTAAGTAGTATTTCATTGATACTTAAGATTAAAGGTTCGTTTAGATTAGAGAAAACACAACTCCTCACACCCTCTTCTCCATGCTGCATGATAGGGAAACTTTCCCTCATGTAATAAATGTCAATGAGGCACAGGTAAACACTTTCCTGGTTTCCCTCAAAAGTGAGCCCCACAAGCTTTTTAAAATTGTTCCCCTTGATTCCCCTCTATAATTAGCACTGTTGTGATGAACTTTTTCCTCATGTAGCAGAGTTTCTTTGAAAAAACTCAGAATTGGCGGGGGGAGAAGGTACAGGGCCTAACATCAGGTATCTCAAGTTCCCACAATGGATAACCTTTTCTTCTGATAATGGAATTGAGTGTTACACATAGAATTCTCATTTTACCATGGCCCCTCTTCATAAATTTTAAATACTATTTAGCACATGATAAGTAACTTTAATTTATCATTCAGTAAGCATGGCCACCTGTCAGGTGCCAGTTCCCTGGAAAGAGTCTGCCCAGGCTGCTCAGTGTCCAGTGGGGGAGTCAGATTAGGCAGGGATGTCACTAATGGAGCAACACAAAGGCTTCTTTCTCATTAGGCTCAGAAGTAGGGGATTTCTGACTTAGTCTTCTGGAATCACAGGGGAAGGTCAATATTGGGCACATTTCTGGGTGAGTTTCAAAATCAGTGATAAATATGCATATTTTTACAACTTTTATAACAGCCACAAGATATTCCAGATGGCCATCGTGCGCCTCCTCCCCTTGTACAGAGAAGTAGCAGCACACGCAGCATCGACACTCAGACTCCTGGTGGGGCGGACAGGGGGAGCAACAACAGCAGCCGCTCCCAGTCTGTGTCCCCCGCGTCATTCCTCACCATCTCCAATGAAGGCAGCGAAGAGAGCCCTTGTTCAGCTGATGACCTGCTCGTTGATCCCAGAGATAAAGGTACAGTACAGGAGGAATTTACCACCAGATGATAAGGGAATACCACCTGTGTTATCATTTATTCTATTTTCTAGCAGAACACACACACTTAAAGCTGCACTAAGATAATTAGTTTGAGGTGTTTCAAAACAGATTTTTAAAAATTGGGAGTACAAAACAGTAGGTTTTATTGTGGTATGTTCGGTGATGGTCAAGTTGGGTGGGTTTATGGGTTTTTATTCCTTTGTTTTATTCTTTGTGCTTGTTAATACAAGTGTCTTATTAATGAGAAACATTCTTTTGGGTGTAAATGAGATGAACATTGGTCCTAAGGAGCACTTTATTCGCTGTGATTTAGTAGTAATGTTTTTACTACCCACTACTTTTTAATTAAATGTGAAACCTTTTTTTTTTTTTTTTTTTTTTAAATATATTTTACTGATTCTTCACAGAGAGGAAGGGAGAGAGACAGAGAGCCAGGAACATCCATGAGAGAGAGACATCGATCAGCTGCCCCCTGCACATCCCCCATTGGGGATGTGCCCGCAACCCAGGCACATGCCCCAGACCGGGACCGAACCCGGGACCCCCGAGTCCGCAGACCGCCGCTCTATCCACCGAGCCAAACCGGTTTCAGCAAATGTGAAACCTTTAAGTTAGTGTTTTTTAGGATCTATACTTGTGATATTTCTAAAAGGAATAGAGCTGATTTATATCATGCAAAATGACTATTCAAGGGAAGCCTGGAGGGCTACTTACAGTATTAAACTACTTATGCAACTTGAAAAATAACGTGGTGACCTAAGCAATTTGAATATTAATTACTAGTATTCTTACCTTTTAAAACAAATAAGACCTTTCATAAGTCTGTATCAGGGCAATATTTTGGCCTGCGGAAATAGAGCCCCAACTTGTGCCCCCAACCTCGCAGCCGCCTGGCATCCACCTTGGCCTGACACCATCCCCTCATCTGCTCCACCATCCCACCTGTGGGTCATCAACTGGGGCCAGAGCCCCATTACCATCTCCCCCGCCCCCCGTGCTGCCGCTGGTTGCCATCTGTGGGGCAATTGGTGGGGTGTTCGGACCCCTACTCGCATCTGCCTTGGCCTGGTGCCGCCCGCTCACTTGCTCCACCATCCCACCGTGGCCCCACTCTCATCAGAGCCCTTTGGGGCCAGCAGTGCTGACACCCGCTATGTTCCACGCCACCCCCTGGTGGTCAGTGCACGTCATAGAGAGCGGTTGAACTCCCGGTCTCCTGCTTGAACGACTGCCCGAGGGGACAATTTGCATATTAGGCTTTTATTAATAGGATTCTACAGCTCATTTCAGTAGTCTTTTATTTAGGGCCTCATACAGTGTGTTGAACATCTTAAAATGTTTCATTGTTACAGCTGACCGTTAATACCAAACACCTAAGTTATTAAGACATGCAGAGAACATAAGGTTTTCTGAAGAAGTCACTTCAAACTATGGGCCATTGTAAAATGTTACTATTTGAAGCCTTTTATGCCAGCTTCTAGGTTAAATAAAGTACGACTGTTCCAGGCCAACACCCAGACCAATTAAATCACAGCCCCTGGGGATTGTAGGAATAGGCACTAGGAGATGCTCCGTGATTCCAATGTGCACACAAGCTTGACACCCACTCAGTTATGTCCTTTGATCGGGCCATGTGTTTCTTGTCAGGAATCTGCATAATAATTCTTATGTTTATTCTGAGGATTAAATGAGGTAGTGAATGCAAACCATTTAGCTTACTCTTGGTACTTAGGCTCAATCAGATATACCCTCCACATTTAAAAAGTGGCCATTAAAATCTGCCCTTTGACAGCATGTCATAAATTTTATGTCCTGCTGCATTTGATTTTAGGAGATTTATGACTGAGTAGCTGCTCTGAATTTCTTTTTTAAGAAAACAGAGACACTGTGCTACTCTTGGCAAGGAATTTGTAGCTTAGCGAACACAAGCTGAAAACTCAGAACACTTACGTAATATATCAAGAAATTTTAAGTTAATACATATAAACCAAGGACATCAGCACTGAACAGGAATACCAGAGTAAGAAGTGTTCCCTTTGATATAATTAATTTGGAAAGGTTTTAAAAACTTTGAGCCAGACTTTGAAGACAGTTGTGGGAAATCAGCAGAGGAAAATCTCTTAGGCATGGAGAAGTTCATAGGCAAAAGGAAGTCTGGTGTACAGTGCAGATGGCTCTGACATCCTGGAGAAGAGATGGTAACCGGAGGAGCCGAGAAATCAACTGAGAAATTCTGAAGGGCAGCACAAGAGAGAATAATAAGCAAACAGTTACTTGTACTGGGAAGAATGGTAGTGCAATTGGAGTCTGTGTGCTGTGTATGGAATAAAAATAAATCAGAGACAGGCCTAGGAGGTGGTGATTATAAGTGAAAAAGACATAAAAATCTTTGATTTACTTATGCATTTATTTAACGAACATTATCTTCCCTTTACCAGGAATTAGATACTGGGTTGGTGTTGATGAGTAAAACACTGTTTCTATCCTCAAGTAGCTCATGGGGAGGCGGGGAGGGGTGGGCGCGAGGCAAGAATAATTTATTACAGTATGACTAAGGATTTATGTAGTAGCATTTCTTAGTAATCAAGCATGTCGTTTATTGCAGAGAATGGGAACAACTCTCCTTTGCCCAAATATGCAACTTCACCAAAACCCAACAATAGTTATATGTTCAAAAGGGAACCTCCAGAGGGCTGTGAAAGGGTCAAAGTCTTTGAAGAATGCTCGTAAGTACACCCTTCCCCCCAAATTCAAGCTTTTATTGTGAGAATTTTTATTATGAAAATTGAAGAATAGTACAGTGATCACCCATATAACCACTCCCTGTGTTCTGAATTAAAATGTTGCTGTATTTGCTTTGTGGTAGTGTTTTTGCTGAACTGCTTGAAAGTAATTTGCAGGCACCATGACTCTACACCTTAAATACAATTTAATATGTGTTTCTTAAAAGTAACCACACTACTCCTACATAACCAAAATACCATTATCACTCCAAAGAATTAACAGTAATGTTTAATATCCAGTTGTTATTCACCTTTTCTCACTTCTTTCCACTGTATCATTTGTGGCTGTTATTTTTGAACCTGTATGCAGTCATCATCATACTTTGAATTTAGCAGTATATTTATTTAAGATATACCACAGAGGTCTGAGAAAATTGAGAGAATGAGGATTGATCAGAACATGTTGATTGGACCAGTTGATTAGATTAAGCTGTTCAGTCAGTCCAATTGGACTGTGTTGATTGGGTCAGCTAATTAGATTAAATTGCTTACTGGTCAGGCCACATGCCTGGTTTGTAGGCTCAATCTCCAGTAGGAAGTGTGCAGGTGGCAGCCAGTTGTTACACTCTCACATTGAAGTTTCTCTCCCTCTCCCTTCCTCTCTAAAAATCAATAAAAATATTTCTTTAAAAAATAAATAAAATGAAACAACTCAGAGTTTAAAAATTAGTCTCTTTTTGCACTAGCTATGTCAAAAGTAGAACAAATGCACTGGATTCACTGGTATTAAAGCAAAGGTAAAGAATTGGCTCTAATTAAAAATGTTTTGCTTATTTCATTATTCTTTAAAGAATAGTCTTCTAAGTCTTACTTTTAGGTTAAGGGAAGTAACTGACTTCAACTAGAGGTTAGAGTGGGTAGTTAAAGTATTACATAAGTCTCCTTTCCCCCCCATTGACCTCTCACTGGCCACACCTCCTCCCCTTCTGTGTCCATTGGTTATGCTCATATGCATGCATACAAGTCCTTTGGTTGATCTCTTACCCCCTCACCTCCTGCCTTCCCTCATAGGTTGGACACTGTATTCAATGCTTCTCTGTCTCTCGATCTATTTTTGTTTATCAGTTTATGTTGTTCATTATATTCCATAAATAAGTGAGATCATGTGATATTTATATTTCTCTGACTGGCTTATTTCACTTAGCATAATGCTCTCCAGTTCCATCATGCTGTTGCAAATGGTAAGAATTCCTTTTTTACAGTAGCATAGTATTCCATTGTGTAGATGTACCACAGTTTTTTAATCCACTCATCT